CCCCACGATCTAGCTGACCTACCAAGAAGTATTTGGAACCAGAACAGACCCACAATACAGAAAACAGGACCGGACCAAAAGAGAAAACCCATGGCTGAAGCGGTGAAGTTGATGAAATTTCTTAGTTGTAAGATATTTTTATTTTTTTTGATGTGTAGTAACCTGAATAATAATGCACCCTCACCCATCCCACCATAAAAAAACTTTTGTTAATTTGAATTTTTAATTTTTTTTCTCTATACACGATATTTGGATTGTATAATTGTTAAGCATCAGGGATATTTTATAATTAGGCTATTATTGTAAAGAAGGGATATTTTTAGGATGTTTTTTTTTTGACATTATTATGGTATTTGTATATATTTTATTGTAAATGTCTCTTCCAAGCATTGGGTCCAATGCTTCATGGAGGGGGGGCATATGTCAACTAGCTGCTTGGGAAAGGAGGACCCGGTATTCAACCTTATTAATTTAATTGCCGATTCGGTCGGATGTTTATTGCAATTCAGCAATAAATTGCGCTGCAAGCCGCAGCAAAGGCAGACTTAAACCAGTGCAAGTACCTCTCGTTGGAAAAGCCCCTCTGGAATTAAGTCTCCCCAGTGCTAGTACCTCTCGTTGGGAACGCCCCTCTGGGTATCTTCAGCCTTATCGTTGTCCAGTGCAATTACCTCTCGTTGGGAACGCCCCTCTGGACAAGGCATAAGGGTGACGATAAACTAACCTACAGTCCCCCAAGCAGCATTGACGTGTGGCCCCCTATAAGGACCCCAGTGTACGAAGGGTCATGTATCTTATAGGATTAGCATACATGTAAGGTTATATTTGGGAAAATATATAGCATATATTTTTATATAACCTGAGCGAGTTTCTCTCCATCAACCTCCAAAGCTACAAACCCCCCATGTCACCCCCGTAAAGCGGGTAGTTGTGACATATTCACAGTCCAAAAGAGAGGAACGAGCATCAAAAAACGTTATGGGGTGATTGCCGGACAAAGAATTTTGTATTATTTGATCATAATAATATTCCCATGACTCAACAGAAAGGGGAGAATTAACCTGCGATCCCTTAATTTGTTTTAAAGTTTGCCAAAATTCTTTTTGATTTTTTGTATTGCTTAATTTATCGGTAATTTCTTTTTCAAAGTTATTTTTTTTAATTTTGATAAGTTGGTTGTAAAGTTTTTTTGCGCTAAGGTAGTCTGATTTCTGTTGCAATTGAAAGTGGTTTTTTTTACATAGTTTTAGACATGAATTGGTATACTTTTTGGCATCATAGCACTCCCTATCAAACCAAGGTTTTGAAGGGGCTTTTCACCGTGATTTAAAAGTATTTGTTTTTGTCATACCGATTTGCAAAGCTGCCTGGTTTATTGTTTGACAAAGATGCTGATAGGAGTCATTTGGGCTGTCATAAAATACTACCTGACCATTCAAAACCATACACTGCCGGTACTGACTTTCTAAGTTGCTGTTCCATTTCAGTTGGACCAGTGGTTGTGGTTATGTCTCCAGAGTCGCCTGTGAATGGGTGGTCACAGAACCAGCTGAGTTGGTCGTTCCCTGAGGGTTTACTACCATTTCCACGGAAACCGGAAAGTGGTAGGAGGGGGTGGTGAAGTTATTTAGGATTTTAAGATCAACAACTGTGGAGAGGAACAAATTTGAGAACCACACCAAGTCAATGACACTCGTACCATTGGGGCCGCAAAATGTTAAAGAACCAGGGTGGTTTGATTTAGTTCGACCATTTAGAAGAGTCAGGGAGTTACTGTACATAAAGTTTAAAAGCTCAAGTCCCTTTGGTTTCAACGTTTTATCAAGACTGTTTCGTAATTCAAAAAGATTTGATCCATTAAGGAAATTGTTATCAGTATAACCCTTGTCGCCCACCCTGCAGTTGAAATCTCCACCAATTAAAATTGGTATATTTATTTTAAATTATCACACTTACATTACATTTCCAATTTGCATTGTGGATCATGAACTCTAAGGCGTTGCATTTCAGGCAGGGTAAGCTTGGAAAGTGCGAAGTTAACAAAGTTGGTTTTGTCAGTATTCAGAGAGAGTAAACTCATGTCTTATCATATTTTAACTTTTTGTAGTGCTGTTTCAGCCTTCTGTCTCACTAAATCCCAATCCCGGCCCCGCTTATTATAATTGCAGTGTCATCTGCAAAGCAATACATGTCACCTTGTTGAAGCTGTTCCATTATTTCATTGACATATACATTGAATAGCAAAGTTGAGAGGATCGTACCCTGCGGCACCCCATGCTCCACTACTCTCGCCCTCGCCTCACTTTTTTGTCCTGATGCATTTGTAACTAACTTTCTTTTGGTCAGAAATGATTTAATCTGTTTTTGGCATTCCTCTGATTTCATTGTCATCCAGGCGCGTTAGTAGAACATGGTGAGCCACAGTGTCGAAAGCCTTTCTCAAGTCCAAGAAAACTTCCATCACTTTTTTCCCCTGGTCAAGGTCCCTCAATATTTTTTCTGTCACCCTTACAAGAGCATTCTCAGTGTTAAAGTTTTCCCTAAATTCCTTCAAATCCTTGTTTGTACATTGATATTATAATGGTGCTTTTCAAGACTTCTGGAAAAACTCCTTCACTGAAAATTATCTTAATAACATGCCTCAGAGGGACAACCAACTTTTCCTTAAATCTTTTAGTTATTATATCTGCAGAAATACCATCTTCTCCTCCCTTTATCCCATTTTTCAAACTTCCTTTCTCCCTGTAACCTGGCCCAAATAGAAAGAATCTACACTTCTCTTTCCACGCAGATACTCCTGCTGAATGCCCCCTGCAATTTGCTCCACCAAGTTTTTTCCTATGCTGCAAAAGTAACAGTTAAATTCACTCGCAATTTCTCTTATTTCAGATACCTCTTTGTTTCCGTCATTCATTATGCATTTTATTGGCGCTATAGATCTCTCGGTCATTGGTAGCCTCTTTGATAACCTGCCACATTTTTTTTGGATCAGTGGCGTTTCTTTCAGCGAGAGATTGTAATATACATACTTGACATTTTGAGCATTTTTCTGTAAGTTTTATACTTATTTAAACTTGCCTGATTATTCTGATTTATTGTACATTCTTTTTTTAGTTTATTTCTAGTTCTAATGGATATCAAGAGGCCACCAGTGCTCTATGGTTTCAATCTTCTCTTACTATTTGTAATTGACTTTACTACAGTCACTTCAGAGATCATGGATTTCAGACTATCTACGAACAGATTAGTACTCAAATTTACATTCATCTGCTGCAGAACACCACCCCATCTCTCCTTTAATTTTTTTCAGATAATTTATTATAATCAGTTCCATTGTATGAGCTCAAGTTACTTGCACTAGCTATTGGTGCCTCCAACTTAAAGTTAAGTAAGGTGGGGCTGTGATCCATAGGATCTTTTTCTAAAATTGCAGGTGTAACACCACAATAGAACAAGGTTGTTTAAAAAAGGGAGGTTGCCTGATAACTTTTATGACGTCATCTGTATGCCTCAACATAATGCAAAATTCCATAAGGCACCCCAAATGCGTCATCAAGTTACCCATTACCAGACAACCTAGTAGCTTTAGGATTAGGAACCTTGACTGAAGCGATATTTCTTGCACTTGATAAAGAAGTAATCCAGGCAGAATCCTCCATTTTCTGTTTTTCTTGTCATTTCGTTCATTGCACCAACAAATCCGTGACTTTGCATTAAGCTTAACTAGTTATTTGTCGCTTCGGAGTCTAATTTCAGCAAGGTTTATGTCTCCACCAAATAAATATACTCTGTTTTGATCCCTGGTTGCACCCTGTAAAATCCTTCCTAAGCTTTCAATAAATTCCTCCTTTGCAGCTGCAAAGCTTCTATAAGTAGCTAATACATCCATGATCTTTTTATGTTTGTATGTATGATTTTTAGGTTTTTAATAATAGTAGATTTTGTAACATGGCAGGAAATAGATTATTACTGTCGAAGGACTGTATCATAAACTAACTATTATTTTACTCCTGAAGAAACAACATGATGTGCACACGCAATTACGCTTTTCAAAATGTACACGACGGCAGCCGAAGTTCTTGGCTCTCCACATATTTCCATATGTCTCCAACAGATATCCATGTATCTCCACGGTTATTCTTGGATTTCAACAGAACTCAGATCTCCGTTCTCCACATATCTCCATTCCATAGGACAGAAAATTTCCAGAGTGACTTCCCTCTCGATTATCCATGATTACCCCGAGTTGTATGGAATCTACACTAGAAAGAGTGGTATCTTCAAGTGTATATTCAAAACTCAATTAGTTGTGATGCTTGGAAATGGTCACAGATTGATATTTAGTGGAAGTTTATTGGGGTACACCAGGAAGACAGGGAATCAATATTGTTTTGTAGTGCCGAGCACTATGGTGTTAAGAATTATTCTAAAAACATTTAGATCATCAACATAAAGTAGATATACAGTAAGATGAAATAGTGTTTGAATCTAAACTAAACTAAAAAGTTTCAGTAATATCATTTACAAATATAGCAAATATTAGATTGCTTCATTGAGTGGCACTACTTGAAGCGTTATAGTTGGCAGATCGTTCGCCCACTCAAGTATGAGAATAATGGATTTACTTGTAGGTTCCTATGAAACCCAATGTATTACATTTCCAGAGTCTCGAACACCCATATCATGGTCATAAGGACATTCGATTTCAGATAACTCTAAATTTAGTTTTTGTAGTGAACCGGTTGTAGATACAGTTTTGTGTTTTTCACAATTATTGATAAGGTATGTTACAACACTCAAAGAGTTGTATGCATTAAAACGCATGCATCACATATACAATTTTATCTATGACCGCAAATCCTGGTGCAGTTTTTTTCCATGTCTGAAACGTCGGTATAATACGCCTAGTGCATACAGTATAATTTCAAACCTTGCAGTAAATACATGTTCTTTCTTCACCTAGGGGCATACAAAATATTTAATGTTCAATTCTGTTTCAGTATATCACCAATGATTCAATAACAAACAAAAGCATAGCCCAAACCATAGTACATCTTTTGCAGTTCCAAGAAGATTTTCTTGGTAAAAAGACCCAAAAACCTCCTATGACTCGTATACCAGTAAGTTAGTGAAAACTGTGCCGATATAGAATAACAATAACACTATTTCTTGCTCAGGTAAAATTCTTTTTGGATTTCAAACCTGGAAGAGGCCTATGTCAGATCCTAAATGCAGCTTATAAATTTAAAACGGATAATGGCTGGAAAAAACTTGAAATTCCCACTGGCAAGGTAAGACATAATTCTGCTGCTTCATCTTAATTTAAATAACCGATACTTATTTTAGAATACACCAAAGTTATACGAAATGTTTCAAGCAATTGAGAAAGCCTTAGTACAAAGCAAATTATATTCTTATCCTGCAGTTTACATTATGTCGAATGTTGATAAAACAGTGGTTCAGAAACTTAAAGATATTATCAAAAAACGTTCCGGTCAAATTGTGGAAGACAAAGAGGATGCCACACATATTCTATACAATTCTGCAGATGCTCTTGTAGAAGAATACGGACGACCTGTAGTGAAAACAGATAAAATGATATTAATGCATTGGTATTATTTCCCCGACTCTTTTGACACTTGGGTAAGTCAAGATTCAATCGGACTTGATGATATGGAGCTTGAAAATCCTATCCCTCGATCGGAGCCTTGGCGCATTACTTATTCTTGGGTTTTCGATACTGACCAGTACAATGAATGGATGTCTGAAGAAGATTATGAAGTCGATGATGCTGGCAGCAAAAAAATACATCCCAGATTGTTGTCTGTGGAAGACTTTATGAATTTTGCAGATGAAGGCGTCAAAAAAAAACGAGACACTAAAAGAAAAAAATCACCTACGCCTCCATTGAAAACAGCAAAAAGAAAAAGTAATAGAAATGTGGCTATAGGCAAGAAAAATACCAAAGAAGATGATCCTGTAGAAGAAATTGAAGATCCTCCACGTCCTGAAGAATCGATAGTGCCTTCCTCAAGCAGTCAACCAGAATCAGAACAACTAGAAATTACAAGTGAAACCGTTCCAGATGGAAAAGAAGCCATAGTAGCTGAGCAATCAATTTCCATAATAATCCCTTCATATGGAGCTTGGTTCAACTACAGCTCAATACATGAAATGGAAAAAAAATCTTTACCTGAATTTTTTAATGGTCGCAACAAGTCAAAAACTCCAGAAGTTTATCTGGCTTATAGGAATTTCATGATAGATATCTACCGAACAAATCCCCTTGAATACCTTAGCAGTGCAGCCTGCAGAAGAAATCTAACTGGAGATGTTTGTGCTATAATGAGGGTACACTCTTTCCTAGAACAATGGGGTCTCATAAATTATCAAGTGGAACCATATTTAAAGCCTTCTGTAGTAGGACCACCTCCCACGTCTCATTTTCATATAATATGCGATTCTCCTTCAGGACTACAGCCAATTAATCCACCTAAAATATTACAACCAAGTGCTGCAAGAACTTTTATAGATTTAGATAAACCTCAAGATGAACAATCTTTGTATAATTTTGGCTTAAAGCTTGATCAATACACTAAAAAGCCACCACCAAGAAACAAGCGAGCCATGGAAAAAGTTTGGTCAGAACAAGAGACACTTCTTTTGTTAGAGGGTCTGGAAATGTATAAAGATGACTGGAACAAAGTTTGCGAACACGTTGGATCAAAGACACAGGATGAATGCATACTTCATTTCCTGAAACTACCCATTGATGATCCCTATGTGGAGTATTCAAAGGTAGAAGGAACTTTGGGTCCTTTAGCTTATCAACCTTTACCTTTTAGTCAAGATGGGAATCCTATTATGTCTACAGTCGCTTTTTTAGCTTCCATTGTTGACCCGAGAGTAGTATCGGCAGCTGCAAAATCAGCTATGACTGAATTTGCCAGTATTAAAGATGAAGTTCCTCCTGCTGTTGCGGAAGCTCATCTTAAAAACATTGAAGCGTTCGACAAAATTGATTTAGATGCGAGTTTGGCTTCCACTGGTATTGCTGGTACTGCTCCTGAAAATGAACAAGCACAAAAAGATGAAACTGAAGTCAATGAGAAAATGGAAGTTGATGATAAGGAAAAGGACGAGTCTTCTCAAGAGCAAAGCTCTTCTCCAGAAGAACCTAAAACTAAGGACAGTGAGGTTCAAAGCGCTGCAGCAGCAGCTTTAGCATCTGCGGCTGTGAAAGCTAAACATTTGGCCGGAGTCGAGGAGCGAAAAATCAAATCTCTTGTCGCTTTATTAGTTGAAACTCAAATGAAAAAATTGGAGATCAAACTGCGTCACTTCGAGGAGCTCGAAACTACAATGGAAAGGGAGCGAGAGGGCATCGAGTATAAGCGGCAACAGCTGATACGAGAAAGACAACAGTTTCACGTAGAACAAATAAAAGCGGCTGAGTTTAGAGCGAGACAACAAGCACAGCAACGGTTATTAGCGGAACAAGGCCATTCGACTCAGCTGCAACAAGCAGGACCGAGTTCGAGTGAAGCTGGACATAGCGGAACATCCATTCCATCTTCACCTCAGGCTTCCGCTGTGCTTTCACCTCAACCGCAAAATATTAGGTAAGAACTTTTATGGATGTTTTATAGAATAAGAGCTTATAAGGTCACTGATTTCGGAATTTTCAACTGACTTTTGAGTCAAGTTTTATAGTCAAACCAAATTTAATACTAAATCCGAATAGATAGTGTTGAGTTGACCAGTATTGAGGAAGACCTCTTCGACTTGTCACGTCAGGACAGATAGTTATTTAAAAAGTGTATCATTTTATTGAAAATAATCTCATAAATTCACAAATATTTTTGGAGTCGCATTGAATATTTTTTTAATGATTTTTTTATTTTAGTGATGGTAGTGAATAAGAGGAAACCAGGGTTACCCAAAAGAATACAAATAAATCTAAACCTAAGGTTCAAAACTGAATGATTAGTTAGTTAGGAAATATGTATTTTTTTATATGTTTACAGAGAGATACAATTATTACTTTTTATTATAGAGTTTATAGACAAACGACGCAAGTTAGGCTTAATATGATTTATTTAGAATTTGCTTTTTGTTTTGGCATGTTATTATGGATTTTTTAGTAAATGGTATTTTTCCCTAACTGAAAAACTTAATTTCCAAGCCCCTAATCCCCAATACAGAAATGATAATGTGAATAAAGTCGGTGAATTTGCATGAACAACTTGCTGCAACCTGTTTATAGAAACAAAAACAACAGCAAAAGTTCCATAAACATTCTGTCCACACCATGGTTACTCATTTTTTCCTACGACTGCCTCTGAAAATGGAGTTTTTCGCACGCTAGGCAACCTCTGAAATTAGAGTTTTTCGCACAGCGTGCGAAAAAGTTTTTCACACGCATTTTAGCGTGCGAAAAAGTTTTTCACACGCCTCAAGTTTTCTAACAAATGAAAATTACATATTTGGTTGTTTTATTTTGCAGTTGTAGGAAAAGCATTGTAAAAAACTCATTTGAAAACCTTTTTTCACACTTGCTCGACTTGTGGAACTCGCCTACGGCTCGGTCCAACAAACTGTCTCGCCGTGCGAAAAAAGTCGTTTTCAAAACTTGTTGTTTAAATAACACACTGATAAAAATAAAGTTGAAAAACAAGAAGAAGAAATGTTTACCAAGGTGTCTATATTTCCTTTATTCTTTGCCGCTAAATATGGAAACAAGCAATTTATAGGAACTTTTATTGCTGCAATCATGAACAATAAGGGATTTGAATGAATAAACTTTTGGAAATATGGCAGAAAAAAGTACCATACTATTTTCTCGATTTTGGATTTTATTTTTATTTTTTTTAAAAACTTTTTCGCAGGTGCTGTTGGTTGGGGATTTTTTTCTGTGCAAAATATGTGTTGGTAACACTTACTACTTACTCACCAACCGACAGGTTGATTCTATTTATTTTTGTAATGTATTGATGGGGTTGAGAAAAAGTAATACGAGTGAAAACTTACTGCTTTATTATACAAGACATTAGCCGTACCCCGGTCACAGAGCTTCGGAGGCGCGCGCATTCTCTGTCATTTTTTTGTTTGTCAGTTCCAGCAACTGATTATTTGTTATTTGTTTATGTTTGAAGCTTGATATCGTAATCTTTATGTTGAGCTTTGAAAATAATTATACAAAAGTTGAGAGGTGTTGGCACGTTGGCAGTCTAAATATATAACCATTAACTTCTTTGCTTGTATTGTTATGCTAGTTATGATATTGGCGTTTTCTTCATAAATTGTTACCCATCTATATCTTCCTTTCCACCAGGAGATTTTTTCATCTGAAAATTAAAGGGATCAGGAACTGGATCCAATTTTACAAACAACAAACAAAACAAGATCCACGAGTAGTGAAACTACATATTTTATATAATAAATCCGCAAGTGGCAGACCTTTACTTTATTTTTTAAAGGTCGGCGATTGGCGCACGGAATATCTCCACTAGATTCAAGATTGGTGAATTGATAATATAATCTCTTTATCATAGATTCTCTATTCCCTTTATGTTCAATTTGAAACAGGCCTTGAGGGCAGGCCTTCTAGATAGAAAATGCAGACTTACCCAAAATAACCGACCGTCTAGTGCTATCTATGTCTTTGTAAATTAGCATTTTATTTAAAAAACAAAGCCCGCTCAAGGGACTCTATGCTCTAAACTAAATTGACTTGTTTTTTTTTTTAATAAAATAGTAACTTATGAGGACTAGATCCTACTAGATGGACAGGTTAGTTTGGGTAAGTCTGCATTTTCTGTCTAAAAGAAAGAAGCTATTCGTGCTAAAAAAATTTGAATCAAAAACATTGAAATTTAAAAAATCCGAAATTTAGGTTTTCAAAAAATGAACATGAACCGTAAACCCTGAATTTTATTTTTTCAAAAATTGTCAATTTTTCTGGAAGGGCAGGGCAGAAAGTACATATTTTCAGATTACCATAACATAATTTGTGGCTAAAAACTCAACAGCTGATCAGCAGGGATGTTCCGAGAGAATTTCCAGTTCCGATTGCCAATATTTTGTATTTTCATAGTCGATTGTCGAGCAGAGGCTGAACTGGGCTGGGACCGGCTGGGCAATAGCGTACCAAGGATGATACACACCTACAGGACTGCTTATCGGCCTATCAGCTCAAATCAGCTGTTTAAACAGCCTACGTCAAGGCGAGAAATAACATGCTGCCTACGTCACAACTTAGGATTGGGGAGGTGAGGGGAGATTTGTTCCACACAGACAATATGAGGATACGCCATCCTGTAGTAGTAAGTAGTGTGTATCATCCTTGGTGGCGTACAAGTTAGTAGAGTGTACTGAGTGTAGAGTATGGGAGTATGTATACAGTACAGTGATACTTACACTCAGTACAAATTTCCTGAAATGAAACCCCAAATTCAGAATATTTTGTGTTCTATTCATTGACTGAAAAATTGTGACACATTTATTCTAGAAATCAAAATGTGCATATCTAGAGATTGGGGTGCATACTGTGCATATAAATCGAAAGTGTGCATCAATATGCACAATTGTGCAGTTTGGAACATCCCTGCTGATCAGTGATCATCTGTGGAACGCTGGCTAGAACTGACAGTAATGTGATGCGCGCGACTCCGAAGCCTTGTGATCGGGGTACGGCTAATGTCTTGTCTTTATTATTTAACTTTAGATTCGAAAATTAAATTACAATCAGTCCGATATGACAACAATGTATTCGATGTTTACAGTTTCACGATTTAAATTGGAGAGAGCGACGAGCTCCCAAAAATGCAATCAGGAAACAGTACCTGCATACATAAAAAATAACTCCTAAACGCCTGCGTTAAATATGTAAAATATCGAGAATATAAAATTAAGAAGTAATGAAGTTTGCCTATGCTTATTCAAATAAATTCAATATTTAATGTGCGATACATTACACTTTTCCCCCCTCAACAATTTTCATTATTTTAGAAGGTTTGGCAATTTTGAAGGTACCAATAGGTATTGTCCGTCGTTTTCAATCCGACACTTTCCGTATGAGGAGCAAGGGGGCGAAGAATATGGGAAAAACAGGTGGGACGTCAGGTGACCACTGACGTTCTAACGTAGGGCCTGTAGGAAGCCAGTAGCTTACATTCCTTTGGAGTATCAGATTGAAATCGACGGACTGTATAAAGGTTGTTTCACGAGGGTTTGTACGTTTGACATCGACGGTGCCCATAACTTGGAAAAAATAAAGGTTTGAGGTAGAATGATGCATATAAATTCAATAGGTAGCGTTTAGAATTTGTATTGTGTTGAATGACTTCTGGTTTGAAAACCAACGAACGTTTTTGACGTCATTAATTTGTTTCAGTCAATTTTTATTTGTTGAAAAAGAAAGGCAAATGTACAAACCATATTCATGAATTTCAGTGGACATCTTACATGCCAATTTATATGCAATAGAATGAAATGTCTAGAAAAAGTCTAAGATTGAATAGAGAACGGAAACAATTTCCCCTATTCCACCTCCAGCATTCCCAGCGCTGCATGCTGGAGGTAAAACTATAAAAAAACCCGAGGGGTATTTCACTGAAGTTTTTTTTGTACATATATTGTGCAATACTCAGGTATTGCAGAGTATTGTGAGAGTATTGTGGACTATTGCAACCTATTGACCAATGTTTCTAGATATTGCAAACCATTGTGATTATTGTGAACTATTGCAAATTATTGCAGTACCTACATAGGTATTCCCTATTTCTTCAAACTTTTATATTTTTCTTTCATAGGTATTATTGAAATCTTTATGATCTAAATCAAATGGATGAGAATGATGAAATCATCAATTTCATCTTCTTCAGAACATCTAGACTGGCATACGTTCAATTTTAGAAACTTCACTTTGCTTTTTGTGGTGTCAGTATGCAGTAGTTTTGCGATGTACCACGCAGTATCATAACATAATATACTGAATAGTAATATTTAGTCTTCCTCTTTCATCAGTTATTACTCCTATGTAATGAAACTTTCATTTTCGAATTCATTTTCACTTGTGTCAATATCAGGGTTGTCTGTTTTTTTACACCAAAAAAACCACATAAGATTTAAATTTCTTACTGTCTTTGACTTTCTGTTTTTTAAATGTATTTTTAAAAACCTTCCATTATTCATATCTGTTACCTAAGCATTGTAATCTTTAACATTGAAAGCTTCCCTGTTCATATAATAATTTTTAAGAGAGTTGAGCTCCTCTGCTTCTTTGTCTGCCATCACGTCATTATTAGTTCCTTTCTGAATAGCCTCAGATGAGTCAGTTAAATTGAGTTCATCTTTGTTGAAATTGGCGTCAAGTTCAGAGTTAATGTTAATTATTGTTTATCGGATAGTATGTCCGTCAAAAAGTTAACTGTATAATCTCGAATATTGTCTATTCCTAACATCTGAAGAACAGTGACGCAAACACGAGATCAAAAAGAGGGACCGTAGGAAGGAGCGATACAATAATATTCTTCAATATGTCTTCTCAAATAATATTTAGGATGGCCTCGATGTTGATGGCCGGAAATGATGGCAGCCCTCATTGAAGGAGTCATTCCGAAATACCGCATCAGCGCTGATGACGCTATTTTAACGTTCCGTAATTCGCTTTTGGCGCTACTGATGTTGCTAGCTCCGCCTACTCTCCCCACCATCATCAGACATCAAACGCTGTCCGAGGTTCGAGCAGCATTTGATGCGGTAGCCATTTTTGTTTGTTGTTATTGTTGTTTGAGGTTATAAATTGGTTTGTTGTGGGGTAAATAATTTAAGAATTGAAAACGAAAATGTTCGAAATTGTAACAGATGCGGATGGCAACCCCATTCGAAATTCCATGGGACATTTTCTTATCGTCAAGAAAGGTAGGTACTCTATTTATTTTCATTTGATCGATTGAATATTGTTATAATATGTTAATAAATATAGTTACACTGTTTTATTCTCTCAATAATATTATATAGCTAGGTAGAGAATTTTGGTACTTAAAAGGGTAGGTCAAACTGTAGTAAAAACCTTTTTTTTTCTTTAGGTACTGACCAGCAGTTTTGGTTGCCTGAGGATCAAATTCAACTTGAGGAAAATAGGACTGATGAGAGACTGACTGAGAAAAAAGACAATATGTCAGGTAATATTTCCTTCTTCCTTAAAAGGATATTACCTTAGTGTTACGGTCCTGACTAAAATGCTACCCTTCTGGGCATGCGCTAGTTAGGGAGAACCTTTGAAGGTATGACAAGCGCCAAGATCGCTCTCTTGGTTCGTGACTCTTATAGGGATTAGAAGTACCTTAAAGCTGCATCGTCTAATTTAAATTTCTATTTATAATTCCATTGCTAATTCCTAATTCGTGATAATTAAACAAGTGATATTTTTGTACGACTTTTATTTAAAACGTAACACTTAGATATTAATAGTATATTGGGTACATATTTTTTGTGGAAAGAGAGCGAAATTACACGCGTATGAAATGGAAATGACACTTTTGCACGAATTATGTACACATATTCTTCCTACAACCTCGCACTCATATGACTCATATATTAGATAATTTAATGCTAAAGAATAAGCGGTTCAGAGCTTATTTAGAAGGTTCGTGATGCCACCCCATATACAATATAATGATTATAATTAGGTATAATATAATGTTCCTACTTTATTTTTAGCTGAGGATAACTTGGAAATTAGAGATAGGGCAGGTCCAAGTTCCTGCTCTCAATCATCAAAAGGTATAAAAAATTTAATAATTGATCTAAATAACCATAATATTTATAGTTTTTAATAGATGAACCTTTTATCTGGAGTAAGAGAGCGGTATTGCTCCTCTTGGAACAATACGAATGCCATGTAGAAGAGTTCAAAAAAAACTTGAGGCACGAAAGAATATGGAGTTCTATTGCTGCCCAACTGATAGAGAAAGGTCATTTGGTCAATGGCAGACAATGTTCTATAAAGTGGTCAGGTCTAAAAAGGACTTACAAAAATATTAAGGATCAAAAAGACAGATCAGGTGCTAGTGCTGTTTCTTGGCCATTTTATTCTGTAGGTTCTGAATTCTACGTGTTTATTACTCTGTCTTGCATGAAAATCCTATAATTTTTTAGGCAATGACTACATTGCAAGGGGACAAGGCCTACATGAAGCCGGTGGCCTTAGCGAGTTCCACAGGACAACCAAAAAATTTAACAGGAGATTGTTCCAAAGGTGTGTACATTATAAGTTTGAGTAAAAGATGTGTATAATAATTTACTTAGAAAAATACTTGATAATATTACAACATAGCAAATTAATAACATCTAGTATTTAAATAAATTTGAATCTTGCTTTGTTTAACAATATAGATAATTGGTTTGGAAACTAGCCATGCAAGTGTTCTATAGGCATGACATGTATGTATACTTTCTTTATTTACAACAGAACCACCTCAAAAGAAAATGAAACCTATGAAAAAGGACGCGGTTTTAAAAGAACTCACTGACAGAACTAACAAGCTGCAAGAATCAATAAATAAACAGAATATTAAAAGACATAGGGAGAAAGCAGAAAGAGGGGAAAGAAAGGCCAAGCAGCACGCAGAAAAAATGGAAATGCAAAGGGCCTTCTTGGACATCTTTAAAAAGATGGCAGAGAAATAATTTTTATTGCTCGTTACTTTTGTTAAGTGACTTTTGACTTTCTTTAACCTTTATATTAGAGTTCCTTTTTTTGTTCCTGGTAGTTATATTTATATTTCTTTACTTTTGTTAATACTAATTACAACTGTGAAATTGTTAATTTAGTTATTTGAGTGACTTTCGACTTTTATCAAGGTTGATATTAGAGTTTTTTTTTAGTTCCTGTTATATTGTTATGTCTTTACTTTTGTTACTTATTAAAATTATTAAATTAAATTGTCTTAAATTTTATAACTGGCCCTAGCAACATCATGCAGTCGTTGACATGATGAACAACATGTTAAGAACATTATTTACATGTTACAATATTGAAACCGAGAGATTATTTTATAATTATTTAAAATAAATAACAAAAAATTATAGGTTAATTTATATTTGAAATAACGGAAAAAGAAACCGTAGGAATCAAAGCAAATTGAAATTTGGAACTTAATTAATTTAATATAAATCCTTAAAACTAAAATACAATAAATAGAAAAATACACAAGTGAAAGTGGAAGGTTATTGGATCCTTCTTATTTCTAAGTTATTCATAATCTCAATTCTTTTATGAGCAGCCTCATCTGCTGCAACTCTAACATTTTCTGGTTCATCCGGAGCTGGATTTTCCTCAATTTGTATGTCTAAAATGTCATTCTGTGACATGCAAATATTATGGAGCACACAACACGCCATAATAAATTCAGGAATTTTTTTAATGTCCCATAATGGCAGACAATCCAGAAGAATCCGAAATCTACCTTTAAACAGTCCAATTGTCCTCTCTATTGTCATTCGAGTCGCCGAATGGCAATAATTATAATTTCTTTGTCGCATTGTTAGGTGTCCATTGTCCCTAAATGGAATAAGTAGATGTCTATGAAGAGGGTATGCTGAGTCTCCTAACAAATGAGTATCATTGCTGAAATACTCCTCACCATTATTTAAATAACCACTTATTTCTGAATTTCTAAAAACCCGCGCATCGTGGACAGAGCCTGGGTATCCAGCAAAACAATGCAAAAATTTATTTTTTGCATTGCACACAACTTGTAGTTGTATAGAATGAAATCCTTTTCGATTAATATAACTCTCAGCATCTGCAGTGGGAGCTCTTATTTTAATATGTGTGCCATCAATGGCCCCAATTACCCCTGGAAACCCACGCATATTTTTGAAAGCATTTACATTTTCTTCAATTTCAGCTCCTGATGGCCATTTAATGACATGTGGTGCCAGAGCATGTAATGCGTTTGACACTCTTCACTGCCCTAAAAGTAGTTGCTTGACCAATCCCAAACTTTATTTTAACTGATCTAAAAAAATATGTATTTTAATAAAATAATGAAAATATATGTACTATCGTCAGCGTCACCGAAAATAAGTACGAGTCAAAATTATTTTTTGTCCACTTGACAATCATCCAATCTAAAACGACAGCATCATAGTAAAAAAAAATTACTATTCACTCGATTATTCACTTATTTTTGGTGACTATAGTGTTTTCCAGATTTTTAAAAACGTCTTACAAGATATTATTTTATACTAAGGTACTAACCTGTAAGAATCAGGAGTAGCCATAAACCATATTGCTACTAAAAGTTGCTTCTTCTCATCTATGCTGTTTCTTCCGGAATTACCCATTCTTCTTAACGCAGGGCCAATATGCCCAAGGATAATATCCACCGTCTCTGGATACATTCTAAAAAGAAACATAAGTTTTATTAACAAAAATTTTAGCCATTATCAAAAATATGTTTTAGAAGTAGAGTGCAAGGCTTATAAGTACCTACCTAAATTGCTGTTTAAAGACTTCTCTGGAGTAATTTGGAATTATTTTTTCCACATAGCCAACTATTGTTTGACCCGGGATTCTCTCATCAATATTGGTGGCAACAGTAATAGTATTTATATTATGATTAATTTGTATTTGAACACAAGTTTGGAGATCTTCCTCTTCAGAACTGGAGCTACTTGTACTATCAGACTCATCATTAAAAACCATCATCATTGCCATTGCAGAGGCAGAGGCACACATTTCCTTCTGCCCTTTTGTTGTCCTATTCGACATTAGTGCTTTCCTGTCTGAATTTCTCGATTTTTAACAGAAAATAATGGGGTATCTACTACTTACTAGTTTAATTGAGAAAATTAGCCACAAAAAGTCAGAACTCGGAACAAAACAAAAATCAAAAACAGAAAGCACAAATATATCCTATCAAAAACAAAATAATAAATTGATTGACATTGACACTAGTGACAGCACATCCCAGCTTTCCGTTCCGAAACCCAGTGGCGCCAATGCTGCTAATGCACCATTTTCTATTACGGAACGCTTTGACAATTGTTGCTGCTGCGATGCGCTGATGCGAATTCCGGAATAGCCCCTAAGTCGAGCGCACGCGTTATTTTGCTTCCTAAATACAAATTTTTGAAAGTGACAGCCTTCAAAGTCACTTTTAAAGTTAAAAGAGGACTCTGTGAAGAGGATTTTGCATACGGCTGTAGGTCTTTAGGCAAAAAAAGAAACATGAAATTGTGTTCATAAAGTGTTTGCCGCATATGATGAGAACCCCCTACACCGCAATAAGGTACTTCTTATTTGTTGCACTTATGGTTCTTGAAGTATCTTTTTATAAAACAACTTTACGGTCATGAGAATCGAGGCAACTCATCCATTTGGTTTAAAGGTTACTATGAACTACTGTTTTATGTAGAAATTATCCATTGCAACGATCACATACCCGTTAGTATTGCCGGCTCTTGGACTATAAAGTCCGTGGCATGGTTCTTGAGCTACCACTACTGAATAGACAGAAGGGACAAGGGACAATGGGCTATTGCTGCGTTGTCATATCAATGATATTTATTAATACATGAAAATAAATGTATTAATAAATATTATTGATATGACAACGCAGCAAAAGCCCATTGTCCCCTCTGTTTATTCAGTAGTTGTAGCTCAAGAACTACCTATGCCACGGACTTTACTCACCTATAGCTAATCAATCTAATGTAAAACTAACTATAATATATTATGTAATACAAACTACATAATATTGTATTCCTATAAAAAAAAAATTTACAATTTAATTGTTATTTTTACACTAGTCTAGTGAAATATCTTAATTGAAAAACTAATTGCCGTTTTTAATTTTTTTTAGTTCTTCTTCTTTTATGGCAATTTCAAGATTTAGTTTCCTTTTTTGCAGTTGAAAAAGTTCCTCTTGTCTCTCATTATGCCTTGCAGCATTTTTTTTCTCAGCTTCAAAATATTCCATTTTTATTTGACCAAGCTTCACGTATTCATCAGTTAATTGGCTTGAAGATAGCTGCCCCATATTGGGCCTCCTTCTTTTGGTACAACCTTGCTTTAATTGGGCTGCTACTGGAGCCTGTAACTTTATCGCAGAAAAATCACCCCAATTAGTCTAAAATATAAAACAGTAAATTATAATAATAGTCCAATGTAGTTTTGTTTGCTATGGTTTTCAACTTTATTTTTGTTATACAGGGTGGAAAATTAGAAAGGATTCATTTGGATTTTCTCGAAAATTATCAGGAAATTAAAAAAAACGCTGAAATACGTCGATTTTGTTTGCGAGGGGGACACTTTTTGGCTATTTCAAAATTTTCCTAGATTGCACCTCCTTACCGGGGTCAGTTATGCACCCTCAAAAGTTGAAAAAGGAAACTGGGTCGAGTGGTACCTTGTTTAAGAGCTATTTGAGATGATGACCTTACAGATCTGTAATTTATTTCGAAATCTGACTATTAGTTTTCAAGATATTCGTCTCGGAAGTTGCCATGGGGCGAAAAGAGAACGTGTTTTTCGTACATTTCTACAAGAAAAAATTGAAATTACTGAAACACGTCAATTTTGTTTATGTTGATCCTTTGTCTCTTTGTTAGTTTGAACCTTTTGAACAACCTTTCAAACATGACCCACTTTTCATTTTTTCACGAAAAACACATTCCCATGGCAACTTTCGAGGCGAATATTTTGAAAACTGAAAGTCAGATTTTGAAAAAAATATCATATCTGTAAAGTCATCTCAAATACCTCTCAAACAAGGTACCACTCGCCCCAGTTTCCCTATTCAACTTTTGAGGGTGCAACTCACCCCGGTAAGGGGGTGCAATCATCTAGAAAAAATTCTGAAATAGCCAGGCAAAAAGTGTCTCTTTGCAAATCGACGTGTTTCAGCGTTTTTTTAATTTCCTGATAATTTTCGAGAAAATCCAGGTGGATCCTTTTTAATTTCCCACCCTGTATATATGTATAGGGTGATTTACGTAGCCCATGCATGAGATTGCAGGTGAATTAGATGCTATCTCTACTAATCGACCTGCAACCTAGATAACTTCTAATGCACTGGCTACGTAAATCACGGTGTATAGAACCATAGAACAGACTCAAGAACAGGACAAACTACTGCTAACATAGGAAATTTAATTTCACAAAAATTTTTATCGCTAAATTTTAAACTAAGAAAAACCAAAGTTTAAAAAACTTACATTCAAAATATTATTGCTTGGAGTTAATGGAGGAATTATACTTGCTTTGGTTTCAGGGCAAGGAGGCTCAAAATCATCCTAAAATAGAAAATAAGGAGTATGCAATATAATATATTAATATTTTAGATTTGTTATAAGGTAAACCAATTTTATCTACAAGCGTTTGGTTATGACGTTTTTACATAACCATTTTTCTAGTAACTGAGTTATGTTTTGAGACTCATAACACAACTAGTGGTGTTATAGACTTGGTTATGAATTCATAACATAACTAGTGGTGTTATGGACGAGGTTATGAATCTATAACACAACTATTTTTGGTGATTTGACAAATGTCAAAGGTAAACCTGTAAAGGTAAAATGAAGGTAGACAACTACTAATAAACGAAATTAATCGAAAAAACATTCTTATTTCTCGCTTTGTAGATAAAACGTTGTACATCACACGTGCGTTTAAACATGACTACAAAACTCGTGTGATTAGAACGACTCGGTCTACGACCTCGTCGTTTTAATCTTTCACACTCGTTATTGTAATCATGTTCATAAACGCACTTGTAATGTAAATAACTATTATAACATGCTAAATAGGTATCACAACACAACTGTTACTTGTAGCACCTTTCTGGATCCTGATGCTCTAGGTGATATGGCAGGCTTTGATGTTGAAGGTCCTGGAGAAGGAATGTCTTTACACACATCGAAAATGATTGGTGCTAGACCTGGACTGACAGAATGGTCAATGTCCTCATTTTCTGTTACAGTCGCAGTACTACTGCTTGCTGTCCTAGCCTGACATGGAATTTCATTGTCCTGGGCATCAAGATCATATTGATTTGGTAGGCCATTAACAGTTTTGTGGTTCATAATACTCAATGCTAGCTCTGTAGTAGCATCCCAAATGGGTTCATCACCTGGACCCCCTCCTGTTTTGATATGCTCTCTTTTTTCAAAGGCCACATCTTTCCTCACATTTTTTTTAATATTCTCGTACAATTTCCTCAAAGAATCTTTCGTTCTGTGGTGGTTTTCTGGCGTTTGAGAGTTGAATAATGATGCTATTTGGTCCCATGCATCATCTTTCTGCCGCCAAGTCACAGAGTCTGTTTTCTTGTTCTCAATCACCCCTTTAAAGGCGAAGACAGTGTTTAGTAACATGTTTTTTTCTCTAGGCGAAAAATTCGGCGCCCTTTTTTTGGCCTCACTCATTTTTTTCAATGCACATTGCACAAAGAAGATCAAGCGTGATCAAGCCACAAAAATGATAAACGTCGGTTGACTACATAGACCAAACATTTTGACAAAAAGTTACTATACCATGATAATATGTTCCTATATTATAGATAGTACTATATTTTGAAACGTTGCCGTTTTAAAGAAGTTTTTGCCTACCACTTAGGTAAACTTTGGACAAGGGGATAGGAAATAATCATTAGGGTACACCTCAGATTTAGGTTACACTTACATAGGAGTGAGTTTTGAGGGGAACCCGTGCAAACGGCCATAAATCAATTATTTGTTTATATTTTATATTCACTCAATGATTGAGATGTTGGCCTTGGCAGATCAAGCAGAGCAGGCTTGTATTTTCTATCATAAATCTGTCTTAACTCTGTACGACAACAATTATTTTGTCTCCTGGGTTTCATATTATAAGGAAATCAATGCCCAAATCAACAATTTTCAAGTCCAATTTCTATCAGTTGTGTTATGTTGTTTTGATTTGTTTTGTTTTGATTTGGTTGGTCTGTCAAATCAAGCGGTGGCTAGAGATGGGGAGCTTCCACTCGATTTTAGATCGAAATGCGTGCAGGTTGTCTTGAGAATTGAGGCGTTTTCACGCGTCCACTTTTTTGAAACTGGTTCAAAACTGTTTCGAAAAATTCTCGCGATAAACCCATGACGTCACGTCAAAATTGGTTCAAACCGTTTCGAAATATAATCCAATCTACGTTTTCGAACCATTTCCTCGCGCCAATAAATTATGTCGTCATGATGACATTACTTAAACCAGTTTTGAAAAATGTTTTGAAATGTTTGAGACGCGAGAAAACACCGATCATTGCGATGCAGTGAGTGCAAGGCGATTTCTTCTGGAGTGCACAGTGGTTCCGTTGTGATTTGTAGATTTGTAGCTGCATGCAAAAATCGTAAACTCTACATGATCCCATAAGACAAACGGAATGGAATAAGGATGACGGTATGCGAATGACGTCATGCAGTCCTTGATCGGTTTGTGTTTTATTATGACCTCGATTATGACATTGCACTTTCCTTGCATTTTCAAACGTGAAAAATTGTTATTTTGAGGTTATTTCCTTTGAAAATGTATTTTGTAATTAGGCATTCCAACGACCTGTCAAAAGTGCGTCGTGGCGGTCATTATTCCGTATATGAGAGTATGTAATTTAAAGCTTTTTAAAGTGCATTTTGTGGTTGTTTTGTGAATGAACTCTGTTTATTTTTGAAGTGAAAACTTCTTTAGAATCGTTGGGACCAGTGGCGTATCCAGGGGAGGAGGCAAAGGGGGCAATTGCCCCCCCAGAGCAACAACCTTTCATTTTTTTTTAAATATCTCAAATAACAAAAAATAATATTATCTACTTGCGTGCGCAAAATTATTACTTTGCACACTCATTTGCGTGAGTCATTTTTTTTTTTGGATAAATTAATATTCAAAAAGAAGGGCTTGATTTTATGTTTGTTCCAAGAAAAGCATTAGGTACATTCAGGCGGTCCCAGCGGCTTAGCTCAGCCTCTTAGCAGCCTCATTCAGTTAATGTTTAGCTTTTTTAATTTGACACTTTTCGTATGAGGAGCAGGGACACTTTATCCGTTAGGACAATTAGGACATGTCCTACGGGCCACTAGAGGATGGAAGGCCAACTGCTGGTCTTTAATTTATAATATAAAATATAAAAGCCCATTATATTAAAAACATAGACTTGTTTAGTAGCAGGACTAGCACATATTTCACTACTCTTTAATTCTTATAATTCACACTGCACAAGCACATTTGGTTTGGCCCAGCGTTGCCAGACTCTAGATATGGAAGTGTGGTACATAATGCTCAAAAACTGTCGTATAGGGACGTACGCACCACGAATACTTGTGGTACACATTACCTCACATAATACATTTTTAGTAGGTACATACCTATTTACTAGAAAAAATATGATTTTTTTTAAGAACGCAAAATGTTGGAAACTTGAAAATAGACCTTACATTAAAAATTACAGCAACAGGAGTAACGGGAAATCGAATGAAACTATTTATTAAATTTATTGAGGTACTTTGTAGGTACTTAGTCAAATTGAAACAAATTCTTTTGTAACGTTGATGGTCGATTATGTGATGTGTCAATTGTGTTATACTCTCCTAACTCCCCCACCATCAAATTTTGGGATACTCGAGGATCAAGAACACTTAAGCTGTTTTCTTGCGATGGAACTTGTTCGATCCGGTTCAATTAGTTTCGAACCTATACATTCTTGTGTTGAACCAGTGACGTCACATTGAACCTGGTTCAGAAAAGTTCGAACCGGAATCATAACTTATTCTTCGTTAACATAAGACTGTGGTTCAAACCTTCCATTTTCTCGCGTTCATAAGTAATGACGTCATCTACAAATTGGTTTAAACCGTAATTGAACCATTCGCCCCGCGAGAAAACGCTTTTAATTTCTTCTGTGTTAAAACAGACCAAAAATCACCTTTTCTGCATTTAAAATCGACAAAATTTAACTCACTAGAACAGCCTAAATCGCAAGCACTCCATCGAGGTCTGCGGGTGACGTCATCGCTATAAGATGCTGATAGTGACGTCGCAGCTTAGACAAGGAAAGAGAGAGGACGCGTAACATCCTTTACCTGCACTAGCAGCTGGTTGTGACCGTTTGCCACCAAATAATGGCGACAATTTTTCATGGTGCCACTATGTGAATTTTACTTCAGACCAACATTTATGTGATATTCAGCATGGTGGATTGCTAGCGTATGGCTGCAAAACCCGCAGAGAAAAAAAAGTCGACGGGATTACATTTAACAGGCAAAAAACAATATGCTTTCTAGGTTATGTTATGAAAAAAAGCAGACATTTTTTGGTGGCAAACTGCTTCATTTTCACCTGCTGTGTTACGAGTCCCCTCTCTTTCCTTGTCTAAGCGTCGCAGGCCCAGAATTTGATGGAGAGGGAGTTAGGGGAGTATGACATAATTGACACATCACATAACCCATCATAATGACATGCAAGGTTGTCAAGCAAGGTACCCAAACTCCACCCAAACCCAATTTGGCCAACACACATAAGAAAAAAAGGAGAATTTCAAAACTGTGGTACATTACCGTACTACCATACGCATTGATTTTCTTGTAACGAAGATGCCCTAAACTGTCGTACAAATACCACACCTGTCGTACGCCTGGAACGCTGGTTTGGCCAGAGAGCACTGCCTGACGTCACGATGCTGTGCAATCGCTCCTCTCCCTCCATCGAGCATCAATCCGGAACACGTCCTAAAGTCACTGAGCTGCGCTGACTCGCCGTCGCGTCATTAGCGCAGCACGGGCGCTGAGTCGTTTGTTATTTGTTCGTGAATCTATTTATGGTGTCAAGTGTGATTGTGTTATCTCTGGATCGTGTGATTTACAACTTTACGAATTTCTACGTGTTAACTAAAATCTTCGAGAATCGCATACGATTCTGTTCGCCTGTTCCTGAAATATAGTGTTATTTTTTTGGTCATGGTGTATAATAAAAACTATGAAATATTTTTTAGTAGCTTGAAATCTTCTGAATGATTTTATTCAACTTCATAAAAAGTACAGGGTGACTCAGAGTAAATTTCCCTTTTCGAACGCGCCCTGTACATTCAACTTAATATTTGTATGGGGAGGTTAGCGCTGGCAATATGCGGCAACTGCGTGCGGATTATAAGTGAGCATGGAGCAGTGGTCGAACGAGCAACGCGCGTTTATGGTTGAGGCGTTATTAAAATTGAATGATTCTTATGTCGCGGCGCTTCGACGTTTTTGTAACCGTAACCATATCCGGCGTATACGTGACGCTATGTCAAAAAATGTATTGAGATCGTGGGTTTAAAGATTCAAAGTGGTACAGTGGCAATTGGCAAATCAGAAGCGTCCCGCCATGTTTTCGAATTGAGCGCCTCTGATTTTCGGTCGCAGCACGTCGCATAATCCCAATGTTCTCTGGCGTTCTGATGGACTTCTGTTGGCCGGGACGCTTCGGATTTGCCATTGGACCACTTTGTCTGAATCTTTGAACCCATAATTTCAATAAATTTTTTGACGGAGTATCACATACGCCGAATATTGTACCGGTTACAAAAACGTCGCCGTGCCACGATATAGGAATCGTTTGATTTAAAAAACGCCTCGACACTAAATGCGCGTTGCTTGTTCGACTACTGCTCCATGTTTAATGATAATCCGCAAACAGTCGCCGTAAATTGCCAGCGCTAACCCCTCCACAAATATAAAGTTAGATGTACAGGACGCGTTCGAAAAGGAAAATTCACTCTGAGTCACCCTGTACAATCACTCATGAAAGGCCATGCCAAATAATTGACCTACGGGCCAGAGAAAGGCTAAAGCGTCACTGATGAGGAGCGAAGTGAGGAGAAATACAGCATCCAGCAAAAACAGGTGTGAGGTCAGGTGACCATTGGTGTGGGCAGCCACCAAGTTTCATAGATAAATTTTTGAATTTTTATATAATTAATGAATAGGTAGTGATTTCTTGTCTATTTTTTATTGCATTTTCGACGTATGTAAGTCCTGGAGAGTATAATAACATTCCTTTGGAGTATCAGATCATAAAAGTTGGACAGTAAATTATACTCCTTCATATAGGTACTTCCCAACTTAATGGTCTTGAGGAAAGAATGAATCAGACACCAATGGACAAAGCAAGATCTATGATAATGCAAGCAAAAATGGATAGGATATTTTGGGAAGATGCTATGTAAAACTAATTTAAAAAGTCACATGGAAAAATATCATCCTGGTTGCAAATAAAGTCAAGCTGATCACTGAAAAAATTGACATTGGATTAAGAAAGAAAATTACCAGTTTCAAGCATCTGGAAACATTTAAGAAGAATAGGTAAAGCTCCTCTGGATGCTATGCAAATCTTCAAACACTCGTAGAAAAAGTATTGTTCTCAACACTTGCGCAAAGGGTCTTTCCTGCACTGAAAACTTATCCGAACTCCGCCAGAGCTGGGCAGTAGCTAGCTACCAAGTAAACTGCTGGACAATTGCTTTCGAACAAGGGAAATATCGCCTAACTTTCAAGCTCGATATTTTTGGAACCAGACTAGATATCGACCTGCGGTTTTCACGGGCTGACAGATTGACTTTTTGTGAAAAAAAAATGCTATTTTGAATTTTTTTTTTAATGTCTACTTTTTTTTTATACAGGGTGTTAAAAAAGTCCATGATTTTCATCCCAATTTTGAATGTGTGTAACTTTTCCAGATAATTTTATTTCTATGCAGCGTTTTAATCAATGATCATCTGCAAAAAAAGTAATTTCTCAAATTTTTTATACCTGCCTTAGTTTTAAAAATATCGACTTTTTTTTATAACCTCCACTTTTTTCAACTTTTAAGCACCTAAACCATCCTGTACATTACATCTTGCATCTTATGCTGTTGTTTGATATACCCCACGATATCCTGGTTTATTTTCAATAAAAAAAACATACTAAAATAATGTGGTGTC